TTAGCCTCGAAAGGAGCTTTCAAGTGCTCGAACTCAATATCAACCCATACTTGCATTAATGAGAGGCTTTTACTACAAATTTTGTCAAATGGACAAATTTTGTTAAAAATTAACACAACAGTTTTGAATAAGGCATTTGTTTGCAAATTATTTTTTAACCCAACACGATACTTATCAGTGCATATGCAGCACTGTGATTGGCCACCTGATTGGTTGTTAGACAAGGTAGTTGCCCATTAAAACAACCAATTTAGAGTGACCTTAATTCACCTTAGGAAGTAGACTAATTGAGTTAAGGCGGTTAAAATATTTATTTATTTATTTGAAATGACAGGCGTTTCGATAGTTATCATTAGCCATTTAGCTGACTTCGGGCCTCACAGAGAGGAGGAATTGCAAAGTGACAAAAAAGTAGAGGGGGGACAGAATAATGATTCACAGATGTAAAAAGAGACAGAAATACAGAAAAAAGGCAGAGAAAGGTAAGATGAGTTCTGTGAAAGTAGACGAATATGACATACAGTGGGGTGATGGTAGTTTGAAGTGAGAAGTCAACTGCCAGTTAATAGACTTTTTTGTCGTATGAGTATACGTTGCCCAGGGTGCACCACTAGGAGGTAAGTCTATCGCACACCCCGGTTAAAATATGCATATTAATTTAGCATGGGAAAATGAAGTTACTTCGAAAATTAACTAATGGAGTACTGAAAGCAGTATTTTGTGTTATGCTAAATTACTTAAAAATCCTTTAATGCTTCAATTTGTTTTTGATGAACTGAAACCGGTTGACAACCTTGAAAATTTCAAGATTTCGAAAAACTTTATTGAAATCGAGTTTGCTTTGAATTAGAAGTAGCACTTGGGATCATTGTGCATTAGACTCACGTCAAATGGAATGTTAAGATCTGATTCGGTGGTCTATTTAATTTTAAAAATAAAAATTTATAATAATTATAATACGCAAAAAATATTCCTTATTATTAAAAATAAACATTTAGATTGAATAAAGCCGGTATTGATTAATCATAAAAGGCAGACTACGAATATGCCCTATAAAGGACATGTTTTTGTGTGGGAAAGAATTTTAATGATGTCCAAATTCAATTTTCAAGAATCTCTTTGTGTTCTTTTCACGCTTAAAATGTTAATATTGTCAATTTGAGTTTCCGATTCTTCAAAATAAGGAATAGCTTCAAACTAGAAAATCAATAAATACCCATCAAAAATGCGATTAATAATTTAAAAGCATAAATTTCAATTTTCTTGGCCTTACAACTGCAATAAAAAGGGAATTACAGTTTGAGGAAAAGTAGACTGAGAGACTGACCATTTTTTTGAAAATAAATAAAATAAATAAATAATAATTACAATTTTTAAGTTTGAAATAATAAAAAATATCAAACATGTACTTGCCCTTGAAACTATATCTTTAGTCTATCTATAACAAAATGAACAGAATAGAAAGATGACGGTTGTGGAAGGAATTTCAAATCCTCATCTCCCTTGACGAATTTGCTTACCAACTCGATCGGATTCACATCAAGAAAGTGAGACCAACTACAAATTCATCTGGGAGCCAATCAATTATCACCCCTACATCTGTTAAATAGATGAACAGCTGATTGATCAATACGTCTACTCTAAGTCTGCCCAATTACGGCCCACGGAGATGATAAAAATGAAGCCTATTGGAAAAAAATCATAATGCTCTTTGGGAACAAATAATTATAAAAAGTCGACAACAATAGTTAAGTAATAGTTGCTAATTAGACATAAATAACAATAAATTTGGAGGGGGGAGGACATGCAATCAACTTTGAAGCATTAACAAATTAAACATCCAATTAAGATGTATTTCTTACCGGTTCGAAGCAGTCCTCAATGATATCATCAATTCGCAGTTGAGCATGTTCCTCTTCAAGTTCATGAGCTCGAGCACACAAGAGGGCCTTTACCTCTGCCTCATCCTGTGCAAAGATCAATTGGCGTCGAAATTCAAGGTCAGAGAGAATGGTAGCGAATGTCCGTCCCAACTCAATGTCCGATTTTGTCTTTTTCTAAAACAAAAAAAAATAAGTCATGACTAATTCCTTAAACGCTAGCTCTAAATTTTTCCGGCTAAAATCCTTTCTATTTGATATGAAACACGCCTAGGTGGTTTTGATGTCATTTGCCAAAAAAGGGAAATACAAAACTAAGCGTTTATAAAATTTTGACGCGGAAATGTCATTTTTATGCCATTAGCTATTGAAATTTTTGTTTTTATACAGTGGAGTGCTCTAGCAACTCCCACCACTGGGTATTTGAAATGAGGCAAAACTAGCCTGATGTCACAACTTTATGTGCCCAAAATTGACCTATTAATTACTGAGCCAGACCTACTCAGGTCTCTTCCACCAGTCCTGGCAAAAGATCTCCGCGATTTCTAATTGTTCTGATGGATCCGTTAGACCGGTTGCGGTCACAGTTGGGAAGGGAGAATTGCCATATGTTAATGGAAGCACGAGTTTTAGGTCTGCTATTTATGGTATTGGCGGGTGAACAAAAGTTGTAAAATCCAATTTAACGCATACTTTGCATTCCAACTCTCATCCTGTGCCAAGCGGAAACGCAGAAACGATTTTCCAAAAGGCGCATTTTGCATAAAGGCAGGAAGGCAGATGTTAAGTGAAATTTTGTGTGGAATAGCAATTTATAAGGCTATTCAGTAGAAATGAATTCCAATAGAACTCCTTTGATATGCATACCAATTTGAAGTTAATCAAAGTGAAGTAATTGGGTGTATTTTTTTTGGTTGTTTCTATTTGCAACACGGTCTTTAAATTTACTTTTTTTATTGATATTTCTCATTTTCAGTTCCCCCTCCCCTCCCTCCCTACTGGTCAATAGATGTAATGGTGTAACTTGCTTTTCTCATCAATTAAGCTCTTTGACACAATTCCTCTAACCAAAATATGGGGGTCGGTAAAGCGTCCATGGATGAATTTGCAATTTACTGCTTTAAAACTGTTGGTAAACATGCTAGCCTTCCCCCCCCCCCCTCCCCCAATCTGGAATTATTCTGAATGTTTTTTTTTTGTTAATTTTTTTATATTACCGATGAAGCGCAAACACCTTCGTCACTTCTCGCCAAGTTGATAGTAATGTCCCTTGCAAATTCACCACACATCATCTAAAAACAGCCTCGGATCAGGTAATCAAACAATGTCAGGTGAATTTTGGTATAAATTTGGTGACAGTGGGTGGTGAAGTTTCCTTAAATCATCAAGCTATTGCCACAACATGGAGTATAATAATTCCTTATGTAGTTCTATCGGAGCAATGTTGAAATGAAATCAGGAGATGTGCATATGCAAATTACAATTGAAACCACCCCCACACCTACCCCCACACCCACCCCCCACCCCATCGCCCACACACATAAATTAATGTATTAAAAATTAGGACATGAATAAAATCATTTTCGGAAGGCCATTCAATTAGGGCCAACCCCTTTGCTACCACTATAATCTTTCAGAAAATCGCATCTCTCTCCCTCTCGACTGGTCGAGGTTTAGAAGATTCAGAAAAATTGTTCTCCCGCCTATTTACCGGTCAGAAGAATTTTTTCTTAATTAATTATTTGAAAGCAAACAGAATTTTATGGTAGATTTGATGGTAAATGATGCGGAAAAAAATGAAAAATGAAAGAGAAGGAATGTTCGTCTACCTCCTTTTGAGGGCTGATGACAAGAAGAATAATTTGCGTTCCTTCGTTAGAGCGTCCAAGGTTCACTGGATACGCGAGTCTAGCCAGAGCCAGGTAGCGTTTTTGAATGTGCTTCAGACTGCAACTAAGAGCCAAAATAAAACATTTCGCTTTAAAGGCATCCTATTTTTCTTAAAGGGTTTTGGAAGGTTGGTTAATTTGCTGAAAGTTATTCAGCATTCACAAATTGTTTTAAATGCGAATCACACATCGCATTTGTGATTCAAGTTTATTGCTTTCCTTAAATACCCAATACATTTGTTGGGAGGAAAGGAGGAAGACTATTTGAAATTCTAAAAGTTGGGATAAATCACTTGATGTGATGTAATAATTAAGCAAGGATATGAAGTGATAAAATTGTTCAACATTACTGTTGAACGTCAAAAATAACAGTTCTATTAGCATATTGTAACTTGATTGGGATTCAACATTCTTTCGTACGCTATGGCTTCTTTTATCTAATTAAATCTATCTAAAATCTAAAACTATCTCAGAAAATGAGGAGTATTTACAACTCAGACATACCAATCATTCAAATTAGAGCATTATTGATTGCAATCAACTTTATATAAACAATATCATCTAGTCAGTAGAAAGATCTTTTGATCTTTTTCCAACATTTATTTATTTACATCAAATCGCAGGTATTTTGATAGTTATCATTAGCCCTTTAGTTGACTTCGGACTTCACAGAGGGAATGAACATCAGAGTGAAAATTATTCGAGAGAGGGGGACAGAAGAGTGTTTCATAGATGTTAAAGAGACAGACACGAAGGTAGAATAAAGTTGAGGTGAGTACTGTGGTAGATGTCGAATACGACATACAGTGGGGTGATAGTAGTTTGAAGTCAGAAGTCAACTGCCAGTTAATAGACTTTTTGCCGTAGAAGTATACGTTGCCCAGGGAGCACCACGTGGAGGTAAGTCCTTTGCATATAGAATTAGTTATAAGTAGTTTCGTAAACAAAGTTGAACTCTGTGGTTGCCCCTCCCCCAAGAGTGGCAAAGAAGTTTTATTCAATCGAAATTCATGTGATTCGTTAACATTCGTCAATATTTTTCTGTGTCAAAGTGTCAAAAGTAGAATTGAAGCAACTTTGCGGACACAATGACTTCCTACTTTAACAGCAACAACAACACTTTAGCACTTTCCCAAATAGCTCATATTACAATTTTGGAAGCGCTTTAAAGTGAATATTACCCAGACGTAAAATGACTGGCTCAGGAAAAATTCCATCTGGTGAGTTGAACGCTTTTACATCTATATATTATGGTGATTTTGTGCGTGACCCAATCTTTTAACGAAGGCAAAAAAGTGACATCCTATGTACCTTATACGAATATACTTACAGGGCACAAATCCAACTCTGATCCGTTGTTATGCCTTCATTTTCTTGAAAGGACACCGATTTTATTGTCTTACTCAGTCGTCTATCTAAAAGGAAAAGATTAAGTGTGAACAAATGTGCTATTTTAGTCGATAAGTCCTTCTTTTTTACGACGCCTTCATTGTTTTCACAATGTCACCTATTCGACACTCTTTTCAAGCAAACCAAATAATTAATTACAATTACATGAAAAGAAACTGGTTTTAGTACCAAATCAAGGTTAAACATAATTACCACTACAATATTTAACTTGGATAACTGCTGAGTTTTAGGCATGCTGTCAAAAATGTCATTGCTTCAGCCCACTTGAATGCCTTCAAGCGAGTGTCATTCACTCCGCCAACAAATCAAATCAGGCGATTAGTGAAGTTTCAAGACAATAACTCGAAGATATTTTTGTCTCAAACTTCCCCCACCAACCACTTTCTCCTCCTCACTTCATGTAAACAAGGTTAAATTAGTTTTAAATTAGATTAGGCAAATTGGTTAAATTCCTTAAAAAGATAGCACTTTTCTCTATTCACTTTACTCAGTATCACTTCACTGACAATGGTGTTAGTCACTGCAACTCTAAAAAACTTTTGGCTAAATAAATATTTATGTGTTTAATTAATTTCTTTATTTTTCACTTTCATGCCAAATCGAACTCAGCCAGATTCCCGAATTCTGATAAGGCCCTGTTTTTGGACGAGAAAGTTTAAAAAATGCGAAGATTAGTCAAATTCCTTAGAGATTGAAGCAAAAATAGCATAACAAATACTATTTAATTTATGACTTTAAGTATTTTTAATAATGTAATCTAACATCATTGCTAATAGACCTGTTTTTGTGTTTTTTTTCTTACAAGTCAAAAAGTGTCGCCATGAAAAGATTTCTTTTCTCTGAAATAGCACTTTAAGTAGGTTCAAAATCTCCATCACAAATCTCCATCCTTCAAAGTGGACAATTATCCTTGTGTTCGACCTTCTAGATGACTGATCTTCAAGTGCGATGCCTAACAAGGTCCATAAGTTCCTGACTTCGGTTCAAAAGGCGAAATTTCAGTGCAGATCTATTAAAAGGATCATTTACTAAAAATATGTGCAGCAGAAGGTGAGAAGCGCTTTTCTCCTAATTACCATTCTAATTTATTTGTATTCACTAGTCAGATTTGTGCTCTTTCATTTCTAATAAACACATACTCACACACTTCTACGCAATTTTTTTATAAAAAAGGACCCTTGTTGCGTAGTTTTTACTCAAAACAGTTCAATTCAGGAAGTTGTGCAATAAACTTCATAATTAAATTAAGGTAATCAGAGCATGAGAACAAATTGGAGTCGGCGGGAAATTTGAATTCTCGGGTCTCAACCCAAAAATAATGGGAAAGAAAAATGTCGGAAAAGGAGACATAGTTTCGAGCCAGCTACTGAATGACTGAACACTTAAACAAAATTTACAAATATATATATATATATGCATATATGTTTTTTTAGAAATTCAAATCATGAAACTTGCGTAAATACATAAAAAACGCCCCACTCAATTTATATGCCCTACTTTATATTTTAATTTGATCTTTTTAATTGGCAAATATTAATTAAGTTATTCTTTGCTTCTTTAGGTTCAAATGAAGAAGAAGAAGAAGAAGAGGAAGTGTGAATCCGGTTGGGAATTCTTTAGCCTATTTATTACCGAAATGCTTGTTTATATAGTTGTTTAAAATAGGCGCTATTCTTTTTTCAAACTGTTAGCGCTCACCCAAATAGGAGCCACTTTAGAAAACGCTTAAAGTGGTTTTTTTGCTTACTAATACGCTTTAAGTGGGTTAAGAGGCAACGAGCTCTCCACCTTCAACTTGTCAGTAGTGAGACAAAAAATTGACTTCACTAATTATGCAACCTATTGTTGGACCTCTCCTATTTTTACCCGCAAAAAAAATATGTTCAATTTTGCCAAAATTGTCAACGTTATTGCTTAAACAGTGTGTGAAAAATTGTAAGTTATAAATTAAAAGAGATGATTACCTAAAAATTTTCACTTTGTTAATCACCCGTTTGTTTTTCTACTCAATATTCTGCTCATAATCAACTCATATTAGTCGATGCCATTGGATACTCAACTTATGACAATTTCCCTTCAATGGAAAAGAAATAGGAGTTGCGTTTCCCTCGCAATATCATGTATAACCTACCTTAGGCCTCACAGGAATCTAGACTATCTGAAATGATGGAGAATTGAATCACTGTCGGCAGTAAGTGATCCGGTGCATAATCGTACACAAGGTTTTTTCATTGTTATTCTCTTGACATATCCTATAAATTGTGCAATACCTTCCAAAGCTCTTATAGCTAGGTTCTCTCTAACCCAGTGATTGTTCAGCCTTTAACTTGTTTAAGAGGCTTTTTTCCAGTTAAATCATTTCCTTCTACCAGAAGTATACCATCTCTCCACTTCAGGCAGTGTTGACTCTCATCTTATTGTCGGGAGGATACTGTTTACAAAAGCTTGCAAAAGAAATATTTTATAAACATTTTTGTTCATACTGTGCAGTCTTAGCCTTCGTTAAATCGAATTAACCCAAATAATCAGGCCTGATTGTAAGTTGATATTTTAGAATGTTGGATGCGGAGTCAAAGAAGAACCTATTTTTTACATAAAGCATCGGAAAGTTAATTAACAATTTGTTCTCAAACAAAATAAGTTTCACTCAAAGTTGACCCAATTAAAACCCAGTTGGGTGAATAAAATCTTAATTACTTAAAAGTACAAGCAAGTTTCAACGCTCTGAAGTCAATTCTGCCTCTTAAATTCTGTTTAATTAGATATAATTAGACAAAATGAGGGAATAATTGTATTTTATTAACCGAACTTCAAAGATAAGTATTTGTTTAATTATATTTTTTCGGATGGCTAAAAATCTATGACTTTGTTTGTTTTACTAAAACAAATTTAACGAGTGCGTGGTGCTTTACAATTTGGGACATTTTAAGCATCCATCGTAAGATGTCATGCTTATAACGGCATTTTTTCAAATTTTGAGCAATAATTCTTACAATAAAAATTATTTTTTTCTACTTTTTGCTTTAATTTATAATTGTACACAAGTATGATCTTGGGGGAGGGGGGCTTTTAAAAGTTTTCTCGACATTATGTAGACAATGAATTAAGGATTTCAAAATTTGACACTGTCACTCATACTTAATTTGGCAACATTATTTGCCCGAGATAGATTTGCCTTATTCATTGGCAGCTGATGTGGACTTTGTAGAGGTTGAATTTATTGTTCTTCAGGGTTTGATCATGTTATGCTGAAATCTTCAAAGCACCATATTCACATTTGTCCACTTTTTTTACACAAATCTCCCATGATTTCGTTATGTTCTCTCAAAAATGCATGAAACTTGCTTATGTCGTTGTTTTTTATGTGTTGTTTTAACTGGCCATAGTAAGGCACTGCGTGCCTTGCAAAATAGAATGTTTTAATCGAAAAAAGGTGACTAAGATACGCCTTTGAATTAAGTTAAAAGTTGTCGTTGTTTGGCTGTCTACCTAAAGGAAGGCATTTAGAAATCTTCGTCTCTTTCATTTTTTGCAAGCTTGGATGTTTATTTAAGCCTTGACATGGTATTTATTAATTATGAAGATGAAATACACATTAGTAGCTCACAAAATGAGTCATTGTGCTTGATCTCCAAGAGAAGGGCTTTTTTCGCCTGCTCGATCAATTCCTCCCTTCCCAAGGTCGACATCCTTGACGCAAAAAGACTTGTTCTACTTGCTCTAGTCAGAGTATGGGATTTAGTATCAATATTGGAATTTCCATGATTATTATTATTACTACTGTTATTGACTCCGCATTGATTGATATCGATCGTCGATCCTCGGCGAGAATGACTAGGCGTCAGGAATAGTCTCTGCGTTCCGGCACCAATATTGGTTGGTGTTGATGAGGAATGATTTGTTTGATCTCCAGAGTCCTTGAAGACGGCATCCAACATATCGTGAATAATCTCTTCTATCGAGGAGGCTTCCATGTCCATAAGAAGTGTGGCTTCTTTTATGAACATCTTAATGTCCATGTTGGCTCGAACCTCTGTAGAAAAGTCCTTCAAGGGTAAGTTCTACAAATATAAAAATGACTTTCTTCACTTAAATTGCATATTTAAAATATCCTACATTCATATTTGGGACATAGTTTGGTGAGCCATTGCATTCTTACACTGTTTTGAAACGAACAACACAGAACTCCATTAAAAGCACAATTTAAAACGGAAACTGAAAATTCAAACAAAAGCCATGTTTACTTGGTCCATCTCTCCTTACATTTGAAAGAATTTGTGCGAAAAGGCAACTCAACTGGACGATAAGTGGTGGATGCAATTACGATTTGATTTAATGCTAAGCAAATTAAGGTATTGATTGTAATTGATATGAGCATTTTACAGAGTGGTATGTCGATTAACGCGTTTGTGTGTAAAATTGGTGCACGTTTTGCTCAATGCTAACTAGTTCAGGAATTTTTAAGTCTACTAAATGCTGTTTGCTAAGTAAAGTTAGCTAAAAGTTTTTTTTTTAAATAACTCATCGTTAATGGTCAAAACTTGCCTGTAATTGGGATAGAACCAAACATGACTGTTGGCATGCTAAAATTGAAAAAAAAACATAAAAATGCATTATTTAATTGATTCCATTTTAATTTGCATTTACTTATTATTGTTTTACTGTTGGAATTTGGTTTGATTTAGTTTATTGGGTCAGGAATTACAAGGCTTCATTGTTCTATGCTGGTTGGCAATTTTTTAAGGAAAGCACTAGATCTCATCTGTGAAAATCCCGGGGGGAGGAGGTATTCCAAAATTGATCTCCTCACTAATAGAATATTATAAAAATGCAATGCTTTTTTCTAGGAAGGGTGGTAAATATTTCATTCAGTGTGGGGTGTGGGATAGACTTACCTCCACGTGGTGCACCCTGGGCAACGTATTCTCATACGGCAAAAATGTCTATAAACCGGCAGTTGACTTCTGACTTCAAACTACCACGACCCCCCTGGGTGTCATATTCGACCCCTTCCACAGTACTCATTTTACCTTTTTCTCTACCTTCGTGTCTGTCTGCCTCTTTAACACCAGTGAATCACCCTTCTGTTCCCCCTCTCGAATTTTTCTCACTTTGATGTTCCTCTTCCCCTCAGTGGAGCTTGAAGTCAGCTAAAGGGCTAACGATAAGTATCATAAAGCCCGCCATTTGAAATAAATATTTCATTCAGTCTTGTTCCCATCTATAGGGCTCCTCCTCACATAGCACA